ACCCCCCGTAGCCAGCAACATCAGGACACAGATTTTGTCAGAAGCCTTCAGAAGCCAGAGGCCTTCAAGACCTACGTGCGGGTCAGACTGCTTCCATATCAAAGAAGCTCACCGAACCCTCATCAGCCGACCCAGTCCATCCCTGTTCACTCAAACTCCTGACCCACCATAGCTAACCCCCTTTAACATTACCTAATCCATCTATAACGGCCCATATTCTAATTGCTTTTGGGGGAGCGCTTTTGGGCCGGGCTGGACACCGAGTTAGTTCTTATACGGGACGTCTCATAGTATATGCACGCCTGATATCAAGCCATTTTACTGCAGCATTTTTGAGATATGGGACCATATGGCGCTTTAGAGGGCTATAAAGGCCCCATTTCTAATAAGTAGAAAAAAAACAATGGTCCGTTCCTATAAGGGATGTCCCATACTATATTCGCACCTCATATAAAACATTTTACTGCAGCATTTTTGAGATATGACACATTATTACTAGGGATGGTCCGATCCACCTTTTTCGCCTTCGATACCGGTTCCGATACCTAGGGTTCAGTATTGGCCGATACCGATCCGATACCAGTGAAGTATTTTTTTTTTTCTCCATTTAAATAAATGTAGAATTTATTTATCTCTGTGTGTGGAACTGATAATCATTCTTTCACAATCTACTAGATACAGACTACTTCATTATAAAGAAAAATAAAATAAACAATAAATATGAAAAAATATAGGCCTATGTATATTTATAATCTATGACAAAAATGTATCATAAACTAGGTTAGTGGATAATTCGGCAGCAAAAGTTATTCTAGAAAAATAAGTGCACAATAATTTTAGAAATCCAAACATTTAATAAAAAAACAATATTTTGTGGGGAACAAATAAAAGTGTTGCACTAAATATGGTAAAATGTTACACATTGCTATTTGTATTATAAAATCCATTAATGAAAAACATTCATGAATGTATTTATATATAAGTATATACTATAAAAAAAAAATCTCGGATTTGGATCGGCCCTCTCTGACCGATACCTGATCCGAGAAAAATGGCACTATCGGAGCCGATACCCGATATGAATATCGGATCGGCGCATCCCTAATTATTACAATTTAGAGGGCTATAAAGACACTATTTCTAATAAGTAGAATAAATGAATGGCCAGTTTTTATACGTGACGTCCCATACTATATGCACACCTTATATAAAAACGTTTTACCATAGCACTTTGAAGAAATGTTAATTTATTATTTTTCAGAGGCCTATGGAGACCCCATTTTCTAATAAGTATAAGAAACCAATGATCAGTTAGTACATGGGACATCCCATATGCACACCTTATATGAAACTATTTTACTGCAGCATTATTTCTAATAAGTAGAGAAAACCAATAATCCGTTTGTATATGGGACATCCCATACTATATGCACACCTCCTATAAAACCATTTTACTGCATCGTTTTCGAGATATGACAGATTATTACACCCCATTTCTAATAAGTAGGAAAAAAAAACAATGATCAGTTGGGACGTCCCATACTATATGCACACCTTATTTAAAAACATTTTACTATAGCATTTTGCAGAAATGTTAATTTATTGTGTTTCAGAGGCCTATAAAGACCCCATTTCTAATAAGTAGAATTAACCAATGATCAGTTAGTACATGGGACATCCCATATGCACACCTTATATGAAACTATTTTACTGCAGCATTTTCGAGATATGGGTCATTATTACACTTTAGCATCCAACAAAGACCCCATTTTTGATAACTAAAGAAAAGCAATGATCAGTTAATATATGGGACGTCCTATACATACCTTATATGAAACCGCTTGCTGCAGCATTTTAAAGATGTATAATATTACACTTTAGAGGGCTATAAAGACCACATTTTAACCACAAGTAGAAGTAATGAATGGGAATTTTGCTGAGGCATTTTAGAGAAATGTACCATTATTTCACTTCAGAGGCTTATAGAGAGGTGTAATCTACTAAGTAAAAAAAGTTGATTCTTGTAAGTCATTTCCCATCTTCTATACATCAAAGGAAAACATGTTACTGTATCATTTTAAGGAGCATGCTATTATTTCACTTATAGATTCATAAAATTGTAAAATTAAGCATTCTAATAAGTAAAAAATCAACAACCAATTCTTATAAGGGACCTCCTATACTATGTGCACCCTTTATACACTGATCAGCAGGGGTGTGAAGTAACGAATTACAAATACTCACGTTACAGTAATTAAGTAGTTTTTATCAGTAATTGTACTTTGAGTAGTTTAAAAATTGTGTACTTTTACTTTTACTTGAGTACATTTTAAGTGATGTATCGGTACTTTTACTCTGCTATTTTCCTCCGTTTGTGGTCGTTACATGCTTATTTTAATTTTATTTTTATCCATCAACGTGATTGGATAGAGAGTAATAGGTCTCGTGACTTTCGTCAAATCAAATTGTGCATAGAACACTT